GTCTGAAGCAAAGTAGAAGAAATTATAGCATCAAGTGGTCCATCTTGAAAAGAGCTGCTGCGTATACGCCTGGTGGAAAGCGATGTGGCCTCTGTTTGGAAGAGAAGTTATGCATCCTGAAAGCGAAAGGGAACAATTCACTGAACACGCGATCAGAGTTTTATGCGAAGTGCTGTCATAAGGAAAAATTTAGCGCGTGCAAATTCAAACCGATGACGCAAGACAAGCCTACGCGTCAGCGACCGACCGTTGATGCTGACGAATCAAACACAAACTGAATTAATTGCCTGAAGATCGTCTTGAATAAGGCGTGAAACTTGAGTAGCAATAATTAATTTTAAGATATAAATATATCTTGCTCTACTTTTGTATTAGTGTTGAGCACTTTATTATCTACTACAACAAAACAAATTATATATATACAAATATATATATATATATATATATATATATATATATATATATATATATATGTATATATGCATATATATGCCTATATATATATATATATATATATATATATATATATATATATATATATATATATATATATATATATATATATATATATATATATATATATATTAGATTAAATGCTATACACAGCAGCGAATGAGCTGCGTGTCTTGTATTTATAAAATATATGACTACACAGAATACTAAGGATATAAATACAATAATAATATGTCATTAAAATCTCTTTTTACAGGCGGAAAAGGATAGCAAAAGGAAGAGAGAATCGGTCATTAAAGTTTGTCAAAAATATAACGTAACAAATGTCATGGAACCGCCAGCTGACAGCAAAGACCGAAAAAGGGTACGGCAAAGGCGCAACGTGCTTGATCATTTGCTTGTGAACAAAGAACACAAAGTTCTTTTTTGCTTTATACCTAAAATTAGCTGTACCAACATGCAAAGTATATTCGTAGTTATGGATGGATTGTATCCAAGTGTAGAAGAAGTGAACGCACCTAAAGTACATAAACAAGTCGTACGTTTGTCTAATAAAACGTTCACTGAAAAGCAACGAGCGTACATGCTGAAGAATTTCTACAAGTTCATGATTGTACGAGATCCTTTGGAGCGGCTCGTGTCTGGGTACCGAGATAAATTCCAACATAAGAAGAGTATCAAATTTTGGGCACCTTTAGGAAAACGCATAATAAAGAAATATCGTTATAATAATACTAATTCAACGACAGTTATAACTGGACTTGATGTGAGTTTCACGGAGTATGTGCGATATTTGATCGACAATCCGCCTTGGTCGGTCAACGAGCATTGGGTACCATACGAAGACCTATGCAGGCCTTGTGAGGTGAAATATGACTTCATCGGATCTATCGAGAATCTCAATCGAGATGTGACCCACGCCATGAGACAGATACATGCAAATGAAACCAAGTATCATGTGATGCACACCAGCGGTGCGCTAACCAAAACAAAACGAAAAACAGCAAATTTTCTTAAAGAACTTTCCCGAAAGTACTTTGATCAACTATTGGCTGCTTTTAAAACAGACCACGAGTTATTTGGGTATCCTCTGCCCGAATACGATACATTGGATAAGCGTTACCCCGCCTGATAAGAATGGTATACATTATTTGCCTATATACTGCAGATTCAGGTTGAGTATTTAATGACGTCACGATCATGTGAGCGTTGAAATAGAAAAACGCGGGTGTTGTCAAGTGGCAAATTACTTGTTGCTATGAGGGAGCGGTGACATTTTGAATTGAATATATATGTTTAGAATTTACACTGTGATGCAATAATATGGAACTAAATATATATATGAATATAACCCCTATATTTATAGGGAACAAAGGCTTGCTATCTTTAACGTATGATGATTTTTTCTCGCGTGTTTTTGGGCAAAGAACTGCACCAAGCGAGGGTCGATGCGATTGAATATCGTAGAACCAGTTCGGCCTGAAATTGACTTGTCATCGAAGCATTTTAAATTTCAAATAATAGGAGAAACTATTTTATCTTGGAAGTTTATAATAAACGTTTCCAAATGATCGATACAACGGCTGACGATATCCCAAGAGGACGTCTACTTCTACGAATTTTCCAGGAAAAACTCCTGTTTCGGGATCACATCTATTGCTAATAATATTTCCTATTGTTAACAACCTTAGTCTTCGGATAAAGGTTTTCCGGGCATAAATAATCGACCATATTCGAATTCGTTTTCGCGCCACATTTTAAAAACCGTTTGTTTACAGGCATTCTCTTATAGCAACAAGTAACTTGCCACTTGACAACACCCGCGCTTTTCTCTTGCAACGTTAATTCACATGATCACAGTTTGGATCAGTAATATTTAACGAAAACAACGTAGGATCAGCCTTTCACTATTTTGTTAAATGTCCCGATATGCTGTTCAAAGATTTGTTCTTTTTTCTTCTGCAATCCAAACATTAGGGAACACTAGCTTGGTTATCCAGCAGTGAGTTAGGCAAATTAGAGCTGTTTTGTATGGCTCAAGGAATCACTCGATTGACGCAAATCAAAAACTTTTTGCAGTTGTTCAAATAAGTACTAGTTAAAACATGAGCAGCCGATCTTTACATCTGATATACAAACTTGATCCGATGCATAAATTTTGCTTTATGCACTCGCGTGTGCAGTAATTTTGAGACCTAAAATCTTTTGTCTTTAAAACAATGTCAATTTCTTGGGAAATTCCGAGGTTGCCCCTCTTTTGTATACGCCCTGTACAGTGTCTCAAAAAAAGTGAACCTATTCAAATTCAAATTAGCTATAGCGTCTTGTAGTAATTTGACAGCTCTAATTGCTTTGAGTTAACGGTTGGGTAATAAGAGAAGCTCTTGTACTCATGAGACAAAACTCTTAAAAACTTTTGAAATTTCTAATTTTTATTTCTTTAAGTTTTGTCCCATGAGTACAAGACCTTGTGTTCTTACCCAGCCATTAACTCAAAACAATTAGAGCTGTCAAATTGCTATAATGCGTTATAGCTAATATGAATCTGAAAGGGATCACTTTTTTTTATACACACTGTATAGCGACGAACAAAAATCGGCATTCAACAACATTCATACAACAATTGTATTTCGTGACAAAAATTCTAAACAGTAAACGAGTTTAAAATTAAAAGAACCTACTTAAACGGTTTCGGCAGCATATCCTGTTTCCTGTTGTGTATTTGTCTTCTCTTTTACATTCTTTATTTGAACACAAACTTGGAAAATCGTACTTTCTAATTATCCGAGTTGTGCCGCCATTTTGTTTATTTACGTACGTAGCCGGTCGGGGCGGGCAACAATTTTTCACTTGTTGCTCGGCGGGAAACATTGCATTTATCTGAAGTCACGTGACCACAAATCATCCAATCACGTTCGGTGTTCACGCTAGCTATATAATTTTGTTATATAGTTAGTGTCAAAGTTCAATTTTTCTGTTTGGCGATTGGTCAAAACGGTATCACGGACGTTCCGGTCCACAAAACGTCATGTTCGGCAACCGGTCCGCAATGAAACATTTATTGACCGGTCAATACTAAAATGGGTACAATGCGAATGCGCGTCAACCGTGAATTTCCAAAGTTCATTCAATTGTTTTATTACGTTTTGAAATTTTAAAAAAATGTCGTCTGCTTGGTTCGTTAGTTGTTCCTAGCGGGATATTGCTCAGCTGTTGCAAGACAAAGATAGTAAATCAACAAAAACAAGTACAAAGTTGGCAATTGACTTATTAAAATAGTTTTGTGTGGCGAAACGACTTGCTTTCAAAGAACAATGCCTTGAAAGGTCCAAGTTAGATACTCAACGAGACTGTTTCATTTTAGCCTGGAGCATTTAAGAACTGTAATGGCACTATAAATTTTAACTATAAGTAACTTGCGTTGCACTAAATTATTTACTGTAATTGTGAATGATAGTGTTTGTCACTTTTCAGTTCAGAATGTTGTAATAAATATTTAACTGTTGAGTGTTGTCTAGTTTTGGTTTCAAAGTTCACTCCAGTAACCGGTGAATTATTCATACTTTGACACTCATATACTATATAACAAAACACTTATATTACTGAGACCTCGGGAAAGCAGTATGTTTTGTGGCCCCTCGACCGCCGTTGTTGCCCTCTGCTTCGCCTCGGGCAACAACGGCGGTCTCGAGTCCACAAAACACACTGTTTTCCTCGGTCTCAGTAAATAAATGATAAAAACTTATTTACTCACACTCTATCACGCACACGAATGTTAGAGAATATGATTGGTTGGATTGATAGTAATTATAGTCGGCGGTGATCAAATTTCCTTGAGATTGTTGCAGGCTCTCATCTACACATTGAGCCTGCAACTACCTGTATAGTTGAAGGATTATTTCGAGTGAATATTATATACCTTGTCTCTGGTGTTTTGCACTCTGCTGAAGATATATGTTTGCGATGTTGTCTCTGAATGTGTCCACAGGGGGCAAGCTAAATAGTTTGCTTGACCGCGGTGGGAATCCAACCCACGACCTTTAGTTTGCTACTCCGGTATGGTTTTTGCGTCACTACGCAAGCTGTGCGATACAATGTAAAGATAGCCTTAGAAAACCACCTTTCTGTACTTTATCTAAAAGACTACGTACACCTTGAGTCTCACGTTTGTACCAACTTGCGCTAAAAATCTTTAATTGTTGCACTCTGGCTGTACGGTATGTAACAGAGTTATCTTAACGTCATTACGTTATAAAAAACAGTCAATTATGATCTAATTAATATTGCGAGTGTTTGTTACCTTTTTCGAATGAACATGTTTCCATCAACATTCACTTCAAACCATCCAGTACTTTTGGGGTCACTTCTCCACTTTAATACAAAAAAATTGTTTTAACTAAACACACTCAGAAACTGAATGAGTAAACCTAATGGTTTTCGCCTATTGTTTCAATTTGAATAAAATGTAATTGAGAATAATACTTCACCGAAAAACATGGAGAACTGTGGGATTTGGAAACTACAGAAGACAATGAATGAACAGAATTTTTCCTGGCCGCCAGATATTATATTGTTATGCAAATTTTTTAGGCCAGCTACAAAGGGCCTTTCATGTGGTATACTTAATTATGATTTCAAGTTTTTTCTTTAACAGAGGACAGAGAAGCATTTGACGGTCTATAAATCGTTCCAACAGTGATCGGTGTAGTAGAAGGTTTATGAATCTCAAGTCTTTCCGTTCAAGACAGTTAACATATTTTTTCATACAAACAGACACCTCCCCCTCTGTTTCAACGATCCATTCTAATAAAATCATCCAGTCTTCTTTCATTTAGAGTTAGAATATCGAGACATTGTTCAGCTAAATACGATTTCTTCAATATGTTTAGGTAAACTGATTATATTCAGCATACCCATTTTAAAAGCCTTGACATTCGGAAAATCTGGGTTAATTGCCATTGTAATATCTATTCTACCACGGTACCACCTGGCCGGGCTGTACATGTATCTCATGGCATAAATGGTTGTTATAATTCTTACTAATACTACTTCTATACCCTTTCCGTTTAAGTGTAGGTCCTCTTTTTTAGTGTATAACGTTTAACAAGTATGGTTTATGTTTACACTATTGTCGATAAAAGACCATTTGTTTTGCTGACAACGCGTTTGAGTATGTTATTGTTATTAACATTTTTTATCTTATTTTGAATAGTTAGGTCTTTTCTGATTGTTAGGCTTGATATGGTTACTTTAATATGTGGTAAGCTATCTTGGATCTTGCTACCCAGGTTTAAAACACCTGCCGCAACAATTTCAGCTGTTTTATAATCATCTTTGATTGTATTTCATACTGTTTTTCGTCAAGTCCCACTACAGTATATTACGATACAATTGTTTCTAATTAAATATCGCAGCGTGTTTTTAAACGAAACGCACCATTGAAATCCTCACAACATAACCGTTTCAACGGAACAGGACAAGTCGATGGCAAGCCAATAAATTTCATCAAAACATCGTTTGCATTCCAAATTTGCGCTAAAAATTGTCCCTTGGGGCATCAATTAAGTGTTTTCGGCATTATAAGAAAGTCATTATATGTCAAAATGCGTATATGCAGAGAAATTATACTGATTGCAAGTGTATATGTCGTGTTGGTCATTGTCAGCTTTGAGTATTATAATTTTAATAAATGGACACTGTTTGAGCAGGATTTCAACCGTGTAATCATAGTCTGTGGTAAGTCCTCAATGCTGTTATTATCATAAATGAGGTATAAAGTTTAGGTTAATTTGTCGTGCATACTGTAGCTTACTCATGCTATCAAAGATTTTGGCCTGATTTAAAAATGGCTTTAAGAATTATCATATTGTGATTGGACACCCGCGTTTAACAAAAAACTGTTGGTATAACAATAATTATATATCAATTATCATTAACAAATCAGAGAAAGCAATAATAAGTTCAATTAATTATAATACGGTAATATAATAAAATAAAAATAAAGTAGGTATAAAGTTGATTATATGATAACGTTAATAATTCTAGCGCTTTCATTGATCGACAGCCATGATCTATTAGAGGACAGGCGTACGGGATTACGTTATCCAATGGCATTCACTTATTTGTATATAGATGGCTGCTATAATTCTTACTAAGACTACTACTATACCATTAGGTGTAAGTGTAGGTCTTCTGTTTAAGGGTAGGTCTTCTGTTTAAGGGTAGCTATATAGGTCTTCTGTTTAAGTGTAGGTTTAACAAGTATGGTCTATGTTTACACTACGGGGTCCATCAAAAAATGTACACCTTTCAAATTCAAATTAACCGTAATCTACAGGGTGTATAAAAAAAACCTGAACCCTTTCAAATTCAAATTAGCTATAACGTATTGTAGGAATTTGACAGCTCTAATTGCTTTGAATTAAAGGTTGGGTAAGAGCACAAGGTCTTGTACTCACGGGACAAAACTCTTAAAAACTTTTAAATTTTCTAATTTTTATTTTTTCGAGTTTTTCCCATGAGTACAAGACCTTGTGTTCTTACCCGACCATTAACTCAAAGCAATTAGAGCTGTGAAATTACTACAATACGTTATAGGTAATTTGAATTTGAAAGGGTTAAGGGTTTTTTTATACACACTGTATTTTAGTAACTTGACAGCCGTATTAATTTCTCGAATTAATGAATGCGTGAAAACACAAGGTCTTCTGCACATGGGAATTTAGGATAGCTTCTACTGTATTTGTATGAACAAATACACAACTCAAAAAAAAATGTCTAAATTAAGCATTATTCAAGTCTGCATATATAAGATATAAAATGCGCCAGCTTACTGCAGAGCAACGAATATTTATTTAATTAAAAGTTATGGCTAATTTGAATTTGAATGGTTGCACATGTTTACACCGCAGGATGTATAAAAAAATGTACACCTTTCAAATTCAAATTAACTATAACGTATTGTAGTAATTTAACAGCTCTAATTGCTTTGAATTAATGGTTGGGTAAGGACACAAGGTCTTGTATTCATGAGACAAAACTCAAAGAAATAAAAATTAGAAAATTTAAAAGTTTTTAGGGTTTTGTCCCATGAGTACATGACCTGGTGTTCTTACTCAACCATTAATTCAAAGCAATTAGGGCTGTCAAATTACTACAAAACGGTATAGCTAATTTGAAAGAGTTCACTTCTTTT